TTTGGGGTGCCCTGGGATTGTGCTCCTCTGAGCCAGGGATCCGCCCCCACACCAGGCCAGCTTCGACTCGGCTTCCCAGGGGGCTCTGTGGGTTCCTAGGTTGGAGGGCGCCTCTCCTGAGGGGCACGGAGCCCTCCAGGAACAGGAGGCAGCCCAAGGCCTGTGACGCTGGCCTGGGAAGGGCCAACATGGACAGTGGGAGCGAGGGGCAGTCTGCAAGGGCTGGCATTTTCTTTCTGCCCAGACCTTCTCCGGACAGGCCTGGTTTCTGGCTGAGTCCAGCAGTTCCATCTGTCCAATGGCTGCAGGGCAGATGCTGGCCAGGGTGCCCGGCGTGAGGGTTTTCTCCTGCTGGGGGCCGTGTGAAGCCAGACTCGGAGGAAGGGGGTCCACATTGGGCCGGTGGGGATCTCAACTCCAGGCGGCCGGTCTTTGGTGCCTCAGCTGTTGCTGCCCGTGTGCAATCCTGGAGGGGGGAGGGCAGAGAGGCCTCTCTGGTCAGGCTGGAGGCCCATGAGAGGCTCCAGGGTCCCCTGGCCTGCCTGCCTGCCTGCCTGCCTTTGCCTCCCTCCTGGGCCTCCGTTGCCCGGGGCAGACTCGGCTTCTTCCTGTTGCAAACGGCCTACAGTAGTTCAGCTCCAAAGCTTGGCTGGCCTCTGGGCTCTGCTGCTGTCCTTTGGGGCTTGGGGCAGGGGGCCCGTGCTGGCTGCTGTGGCAACGCAGGCCTCCCAAGAGATCTGCCTTGTCTGGGAATAGCCCAGTTGCCGGAAGGGCGAGGAGAGGGGTGCTGGGCCCAGGCGGGGACGCCTCGTCTCATCTGTTCCTCCCTCTTCGTCCCAAAATTGATCACATTCCCAGAAGTAGGAGAAAAAAACGGTTCCTGACACCAACCACGACTCCTCTTTTCAAACGGCTGTTTTGGGGGGAGGCAGGAAAGAATGGAAAGCCAAAGTGATCCCGGTGACCGGCCCAGATCGGATCCTGCAGAACCAAGAGTGGCTGCCAGCCTGGACAGCTAGGGAACTGGTCAAACCTGTCTGTGCCTGCCGTCCCCCTGGGCCTTCCTCGGGTCACGCGAGGGATTTGGATTCAGCCATCCCCCACAATCGCACATCAGCTTCTAAGCCGCCATCATGAATGGATTTCCCACAAGACCCAGTGGGTCCCAACCGCCACTTCCTGTGTCCGGTACATGATGGTAACCTAACATAGATCAGCCATTGGACTCCAATATGGACAGAGGCGCTCTCGGATCTTGTCTGAGCTACATCTTGCCCTAGATGGCCTCTTTCTCCGGGTGGGGTGTGTGTTAACATCTGGCAAGGGATCCAGTGGGCCAGCCCTCTTGCAAACATAGTTCTGAGTGGCTATCACAATGAAAGTATTACTCCAGTCCCAGAGAAGGAGAACGTACATAAAGAAAATGCCCCCAAGGGTGGACAGATCAAGTCCATTCAACACCCCCCAGCCCCCACCCCCACGGGAGCCACCAGGTCTCTAAGGTTTTGCAGAGCTCCCCCGCCTCCCTGGCAGTTGAGGTGCAGGGGGTGGGGGTGGGGGTTGGGGTTTCTGATTAATTTTGCTTGCACTCCGAAGGGGCTGCAGAGAAGGATCCCAGCAGGTGACACCCCCCCCCCGGAGTGCATGTCTGCTAATGTGCGAAACCAAAAGATTTGGCATGGGGAGCTTTAGCCCCTTCCTCCCCTTCCCCAGCCATGTACAGCCAGTGGGATTGTAGACCAGCCAAATTGCGTGCCTTCAAAGTGTCGGTTTCCAAAGCCACCTTTTCAACACTGAAAGTGTTTTGTCCTGCTGGTTCCAGATGTCCTAAATGGCAACATGGTTCTTTTGAGAAAAGCCAGGCTTGCTTCTCTGGGGAGTACAAGCAGTCGTGTATTGTTCCCACATTAATCCCAAGGAACTCGACTTGGTGGAGCCCAGCCCTGAACTCATGGGAAATCTAGGAGGTGATACACACGTGCACACACCCAGTTCCTGTGGGGTCAGGGAGGAAGGGTGGTTCTGTTCTCCAGGGCACCTGAGGGCAGGAGAAGAAGCAATGGGTGGAAACTAATTGAGGAGAGAAGCAACCTGGAAATAAAGGAGAAACTTCCTGCCAGTGACACCCCCCCCCCCAAGGTGCTTTTTCAGGAGGCAACTCGACTTCCTTGTTTTTTCTTTGAAGACGTTTCACTTCTCGTCTGAGAAGCTTCTTGGTCTCTGGCTGGATGGTGGGGAATGGGAGGATTTATTACTCCTCGCGGACAGCTGGTCGTCTGCACTCTCATGAGAGTCATTGAGGCCGCTTGAAGGATTATCTGTGTCCTCAGGGTCCCCTGGGCAGTGCCAATGGTGCGGAGCCTTCTTGGCTCCAGGATGTTTTCTGCCCCGTGTCCCTTCCCTGTTGGAGGCAGGTGTAGGGTGCTGGGCGGAGTCTGTCTTGTCTGCATCTCAAACTGCAGAGATGCAGTTCCTGTAGCCTACAATTTTTTTTCCTGGGAATCAGTTCATGCTCCCTCGCCATTCGAAGGATGTCCGTACCAAAGTGCATAGCTAAAACTCTACGGAGATTCTCCCTCATCCAGGTCGTGGTTGTCCCAAAGGTGCTTTTTCAGGAGGCAACTGGACTTTGTTGTTTTCTTGTTGCGGTGAGAAGCAAAACGTCTTCAAACAAAAAACAAGGAAGTGCAGTTGCCTCCCGAAAAAGCACCTTTGGGACAACCACGACCTGGATGAGGAGCGGAGAACCTCCACAGACTTTTCCTGACAGCGAGAACTATTAATCATGGAAACAGCTTCCCTCCAGGAGTTGCGGAGCTCCGTCGCTGGAAGTTTTTAGGACAACCATTTGTCCAGACTGAAAGAGGGTTTTCTGCTTGGGCGGGGGGCTAGATAGAAGACCTCCGAGGTCCCTTCCAACTCCGCTGTAATAGTTTACACGCAACAACGGTCAGTTTTGGGGGCTTTATGAGGCAGCTCCCTGGGCGTACTTTGGGTACGATCCTATATCGCCACGGGATCGGGAAGATTCCCGCTTGATTTCCAGGATCCGACACCTTTTATGCAAGGCTTGCTTCGTGGGGCGGAGGAGGTCCCCGGGCCGCCACGGGAACCGGCTGCTTCTCCCCACACCGGCCCCTCCAGGGAGCCGCCGTTGAAGGGCGAGAGGCCGGGTAATTTTAGCCTGGGCTAATTCCGGCCCGTTTATTTTGGGCGTGCATCCCGGCAGCTTAAGTTCTGCAACGCCCGTCTGGTCTTCGGGGCCGGAAGGAGCTCGCAGCCTCTGCAGCGGCTCCATGGCGACGGCGCTTGAGCGGCAACTTGGCGCGGGCCCGGCCAGCGACGGCGCCGTTTCCCAAAGCAGGGCCGCCCGGCCGCCCGTCCACCCTCTGAATCTCGGTAGCCGAAGGCCTGAGCCGCCCCTTCAGGTAGCGAGGCGTCCGGGCTGGGACCAGCCCAGCGCCTTCCCGTCCTGCGGGGGTCCGGCGATGGCAGGCAGGCAGCTGCGATCCACAGCCCCGCTCCTGCCACTTCGGGGCTGTTCCCGGCCCGGCCTTTCCTCCGCGTGAGGATGGGTCCTGACCTGCTGGAGCAAGATTACAGCTCCCATCTGCACGCCAGCCAGGATATGGACTGCTGGGGCAGACGGCTGGGCGAGCTAGCGGGAACTCCGGCATTCCTCGCCCGGTCTGGGAGAGCGCGGGGAGGGGGCTGCTCTAGCCGACTGCGAGCCCACCGCCCGTTCCTCTTCAGCCTGCCTGCGATTTAAATAGCAGCGTCCAAATTAGCCGTGTGCGCTGCTGGGGCTCGGCCACCTGCTGCCCCTTCCCTCCCCCCCCCCGGCCCTGGGGACAGCAGGTGGCGGCAGCTGCTTTGCTCGCGGGACACGTAGCCCCTCGCAGTCGACGGGTGCTGCCGGGGGAACCCGAAGGCAGCTGGCTAGGGTGCCCTTCCCGCAAAGGCTGGGGCGCTGGGCAGCCCTTCATGAGCTCAGGAGGGTCTAGGGCAGCTCGGCCTCCTCCCGCCGGGGCCGCCCTTCCCGAAGCAGTGGCTCTGCAGGGTCTATGGGCCAGCGGACGGGGGAGGGGTATCTACTTCGCTGTCATCTGGGAGAAGCCGCGGGAGGCCACAGGCGCCTTTGGTTGCTCCGTCTTTGGACAGTTACGTTTCCCCCAAGGAAACGGGTGAAAGGCTAGGAAAATATATGATGGGTTTCTAAAGAAAGCTGTCCTTGTCTTTCCCACCAAAGGGCAAACTGGGCCCGTTACCTTATTTGGTAGAGGACTAAAATGGGGGCAGGGGGCTCCTAAAGGACTAAATGGGTCCTGGGGTTTCTGTCTCCAGAGGGCTGGGGAGGGGAAACAGCCTCTCCCGATGTGGGCGGGGGAGGACCTGCAGTTTGCTTATTTGTACCCTAGGACTTATCATTAAGTGTTGTACCTTATGATTCTTGATGACCGTATCTTTTCTTTTATGTACACTGAGAGCATAGGCACCAAGGCAAATTCCTTGTGTGTCCAGTCACACTTGGCCAATAAAAAATTCTATTCTATTCAATCTCTCCCGTTGCCTCATGTCCGGGTGAGCAGCTGTGGGGCCCTGAGCTCCTCCTTGCATCCCTGCCAGGTCTCTCCTGCTGAGGACCCTCTGAGGCCCAAGCCACTTTGCAAGATGCTGCTGGGCCTCCCCATTCTCAGCAGCTGGCCTGACGTGGCAGTTCGGGTCCTGGTGAGGCTGCTTGCCACAGGCCGCTTGCAGGCTTTTCCCCATCGAGAAGCTCTGCCCAGGCTCCAGGATAAGCCACTGCTGGGGGACGGCCTTTCTCGTTGGAGGGGGCAACTCTGACCCAGGCAGGACAAGATGTTGGTGTATTTACAGCAGGTTTGCTCCTGTTTTGGGCCTGTTTGTTTGTTGTGGTTGTGTCATAATGTCATTTGACTTCAGGTTTCTTCTAATCGTATTGTGTTCAAACTTCTTGTAAGCTGCTGTGAGACTGAAAAGATTTGGCACACATGCATTTAATAAATAATAATGTTGGCACTGCCAAGGAAACATGTCTCGGGCCCCCTGGGGTGACTGGGAGACTTCAAAAGAATCAGGCGGGCCTGCCCTGCCCAGCTGCCTCTCGCCTCACTAATGGCAGTCAGCCAAGGGGGCCCCTTCCATACCTCATGGGACCCCTTACGGGCTGCTCCAAGCCAACTCTGAGAAAGTAACTCCCGTATGGCCCAAGGGAGCCAGCTGGCCTTGAGGATTTCCACCCTGGGCCAAGCACCAGAGACTGTCTGCCTGCAGCCTCTGCTGCCCTGCCCCCCAAACGCTCCCTCCCTGCGCCTGCCTTGCCTTGTCCTCTCTGCAGGGCTCCCATGCCACTTGCCCCCAACGTACCTGCTTCTCTCTCTGACACATCCCCCTGCTTTCCTGCCCTTCTGTAGCCCCACAGTCCTGCAAACCTGAGACTGTCTGAACCCCGTCTGCTGCCCTCTCAGCCAAGCAGCCACTCCCACCCATTTGGACTCTGCCCTCCAGCAGCCACGAGGGCTGATCCGGATGGCCAAGGGCTGCCCCACCCCACTGTGCTTGCAGAGCCTCCCCACAATAGCTGAAGAGACCACCGGGCTGCACCCTCACCCAGCCTGTTCCGGGGGGCTAAGGCACCATTCCCACCCAGAGACCCTTGGGGGGAAGATGCTGGTATAGAAGAGGGAGACCCAGCTCTGCCCCCCTTTTGCCCACAGACGTTGCCTGGGAATTGGGGCCAGAGCTCCTCTCTTGGCTGGCCTGCCCCGCAGGAGGGTTGTTGTGGGAGGCCTACATGTGCCGCCTGGGGTCCGTGGAAGGAAGGTGAGCCATAAAGGCCTTCTCTAGGACGCCCAGGTCCTCCAGCGGAGGTCATGGCCAGAAGAGCTGGGCCCTGGCTGGCCAATTGGGCCAGGGTGGGGGTGGGGAGGGGAGCGGCTGCTAGAGGCAGTGCAGCAAGTGCAGGGCGTATTGCACCCGTTTGCGTAGGGGCAGCGTCCAGCCCTGCCGTGCCAGGGTGCCCAGAAGGAAGGTGGTGCTGCAACGCTGGCGGTCCACGAAGGTCAAGAGGTCCTCTCCTTCGGCCGAGCAGCTGAGCACAATCTTGGTGCGGTCGTGGTAGAAATTCACCTGGGAGAGACAAGGGATGGCGGGGAGGTCTGCTGGCAGAATTGGGCAAGGGGAAGCTGGCACCATCCTCCACCCGCTAGGGGAGGCCCCGTCTCCATACCAGGATTGTAGTTTAACCTTGTCCCACCCCTTGGCTTTGCACGTTATGAAGCAGCCAAGGCCTTTGGCCATTTAAAAGCCCCTTTGTGTAGCTTTTGAAATGGGGGGGGGGCTGCCACGTTTGGTGGCTCCTTCTGCCACCATCCCGGCTCAATGTACTCAAGAAAACCGAATCCCAGGAATTGGAGGTTGGGATTGACACAAGGCCGCGTCCAGAAGCCGAAACCAACCCTCAGTGGCCCTTTTCTCTTCCATGAATCCAGCAGAGGCTGAGAGGGAAGGGGCCGCGGAGACGGTGCTAACCCTGAGACACCGCAGCTGCTCCTCCTGCAAAGCAGCCTGAGCCCCACAGCCCTCCATCCAGTGGTGGGATTCAAATAATTTAACAATCGGTTCTCTGCCCTAATGATTTCTTCCAACAACCAGTTCACCGAACTGCTCAGAAAGTTAACAACCGGTTCTCTCGAAGTGGTGCAAACTGGTGAATCCCACCACTGCCTCCATCCCTTCTGGCTTCAGCAAAGCCCCCTGGCCTCCTCGGAAGGCCCATCTTCTCATTGAACAATTTCTGCCTTTCTCTTTTCAACCTTTTATGGATGCTGTCTGTATGGAGTGGCATCAGCTGGTGCCCGAGGGTTGACATCTCGCTTGTGCCCGAGTATTGTTCAGGCAGGCCAACCCTCGGGGGGGTGGGGGGGGTTAGGGAAGGTGGCTGCTTAAGGGATCTCCAGCGTCCTTTGCTGGTCCTCGCAGGCCCTAACCTTCCTCTCCACTTTGGGTGGTTGGAGGCAACCCACGACCTCCCTCCCCGCCCGAGTAGGTGTGAAGGGCCAGCCCACTGCAGCTGGGGCCGGCCTCCTCCTACCTGGAGGGTGCCATCACTGAAGAGCATCAGGAGGGCTTTGTCGGATTTTGCAAAATGCAGGAGGGAAAGGGCCCTCGCTGGTCTGGCGGGGCTGGTCTGGCGTGGGCCCCCCTGGCAAAAGAGGCAGGGTCACCAGGGGGCAGAGGCCTGTCGTGGGGGTCCCACAGCCCTCTCTCTCTGATCCATATTCCGCTTCCCCCTTCCCAGCTTCTCACCTCCTGCAGCCACCTCTGCATGTACTGAGTGAAGAAGTGAAGGACACGCCTCTTCATGGCCAAGCAAAGTGGCACCTCTCGCCACCCAAAGGACACGGCCTTCTCCACCTCACTGCAGTAGCAGATGCGCCTGGGGGGGAAACCAAAGGAGGAATTGCCAAAATGTAGGGTGGGCACCCGAAAGGACCCTCGCCGGAGCTGCTGCAGACAGGAGAGGCCAGGTCAGCACCTGGGGGTCCCCTTCTCTCCAGGATCATGACTGGGTCCACCCTGCCCCCTACCCGGGGCTTGGGCCTCTTTGCCCTCACCCAAACCAGACACAGCATGGTTGTGCCTGACTCACAAAGGGGGCACTCACTGGTGCTGGGGGCAAAAGGCCATGTGGGTCCCATCGGGGAGCAGCACCGCAGTTGAGCCATTGGATAGCAGGTAGCCAAACCCATACTTATTGGAGTAGTCCACCCACTTGGTGGCCATGTGGGCAGGATGGGCATTGCGCAGGCCTTCGGGCAGCTCTTCCACTGCAGAGAGAGGTGCCCTGCTCAGCCCAAATGGGATGGAGGCGCAGCACCCACCCCGGCCCTGTCGAATTTCCAGTCCTCCAAGACTCGGTGCAGGTCTATTGTGTAGTAAAAAATGCCCGTGGAAGCTCTGTGCCAAGGATAGCACTGGAGCTCCTGACCTGGCACGGTGCCCAGCCACCCCTTCCTAGAGGGGCAGGATATATTACATATTATCTATGTAATATAAAATGACCTTGGCTCGCAACAAATAACAGCACAAAACCCTGAAGCCTCTCCTGCCACTCAGTGCCCACACAGAAGCTGTCCTTCTGGAGGGGCCTGGGGGCAGCTGCAGAGAGGCCTCACCCCCAGGGCTGCCAAATGACAACAGGGAAGGGAGGGGAGCTGGCACAACATAGCCAGAGGGGTGGAAGCCGCTTGGGCGGGAGCTCCCAGCCTTTGGGCCAGTCCCTCCGAGGGAGACAGAAGAGGGGACCAAGCCTCCAGAAGACAAGGCAGACCCAAGGGAGAGAGGGGGCAGACAGGCAGCAGCCTTACCCAGGGGGGCCATCTGCAAGCAGCGGCACAGCCTTCGGTCTACACTCTCCAGCACTCTACCGGGGCCCCAGGCAGCATCTGCCAGGGAGGGAGGGAGGGAGGGAGGGAGAGAAACAGTGGTGGAGGTGTTTGCTTTCCCTTGCATGTCCGCTGCCCTCCCTGCAGCTCCACTCACCTTCGGGCAGCCGGCTGCGCAGGGAGCCTCTCCGGAGCAAGAGGGGGGAAAGGCAGCTGGGCTCCTCCATGGGGTCTGTGCTCCCCTCTTTGGCTTCTTCCTTCAGGGTCGTGGGGGGGGGGCAATATGAAAGCAACCCGTGAATCACAGAAAGCAGGGATGCCGAAACTAGACCCCCCCAAATGCCTTCCAGCTGTGACCTTTGGGAGCAGCTCCTCCCTGGACCCTCTGCAAAGGCCAGAGCTGGGAGGGAGGGGTGCCATGCTGGAAAGAGCCAGGCGGGCGCTCTCAAGAGACCCCTGGCAAAGGCAGCCTGGTGGGGCCCCAATTTAAATGGAGGTGGTAGAACAACATTGCAGAAGCTGCCATGGAAAGGATAGGAAGGTCTGCATTTATTGATTGATTGATTGATTGATTGATTGATTGATTGATTTATTGATTTATTGATTTATTGATTTATTGATTTATTTATTTATTTATTTATTTATTTTTAAATTTGTATACCACCCTTCTCCCTGAGGACTCAGGGCGGTGAACAGCCAAGTAAAAACATAAACTACAAACATTAAAATACAATTAAAAAGATATATATAAATTTGGCTCCATGATTAAAAACAATATTCCCAGTTGGCAGATGGGAAGACTGAGGGAAAAGGGCTTCAGGTCACACTAAGCGTACAACGCATAGGTGGCAGACAAGAGAGTTGACTGGATGGAGGGAAGTCCAGTCAGGTACATCAAATCAATAAATACACCATCAGGCAAAGAAAGAAGGGCAAGTGGTACCAAACCACGATCCCAGCAAAGTGGGGAGGACTGGTTTCAACTGGGAAAAGGATCCCCAATCCGCGTGACTCCCGGGCTCTCCCTTAGCACCCAACCATCAGAAAACTCCCAGACTATGAGAGTCCTCTGAATAATCATTAGGATAATGAGCTCCACAAAGCCCCAGAGATGACGCTTGAGAATACCCTGGTGCAGCCGGGGTGTGTGTGTGGGGGGGCTTTCTTACCAAGTGGGGAGGGGCAACAGGCCCCTCTCCTTGCAGCTGCGGTGTCTCCTCCTGTTCTTGGGGTGCAGGGCTCACTGCAGGGGGGAGCAGCAGTAGAGGGACACTATTAGACATGCTTTCCTTCTGTAGTATATTGAGGACTAGAAACCTAGTTTGTTACCTGCAAAGAGACTGGGAGAAGGGTAGGAGAATTGGCTCCCCTCTCCCTTGTCCTCCCCCTCCCTCTCCCAAATCCCTCCTCACCTTTTCCTTCCAAGAGCACTCACCAGCCTGGGGGCCCTGGCAAGGGGCACCCCGGAAAAGGAGCATGGCTGTTTTCTGGAAGAATTTCCCAAGCGGGTTGGCAAAAGGGAAAATGGGGACAGAACGACAAGCACGTGAGGGGAGCCTGGCCGGGATGAAGTGCTGCGGAGAGAGGCAGAACGGAAGCCAAGTTACGCTCCTGCCCAGGACCCTTGAGGGGGAGGTTGGAATCTGCCCTGAGTGACAGCTGGGGAGGGCCGGGTCTCCCGAGTCCTTTCAGGGGGGCAGGCAGGTGAGATGAGGGGACAGAATCCGTGGGGAGGCTGGGGGTCGATGGCCATGCCCGTCAGAATGGATTACTAGCCCCACACTCTACCTGGGCAGCCCCAGGGACTAACCGGGGAGCACAATGAGGGTTCATGGGGGTGTGGGCTGGTCAGATTGCAGCAGCTCACCTGCTGGAGGCTCTTAGGCGCTCTGGCCCCCACCCCAAGAATTCACCTAAGCACCCCTGACCCAAGCCCCAGGAATTCATTTCCCAGAAATCCCCCCCCCAACCCATCAGCTCTTGAGGGAACCCAGCACAGCCCTCCTGCTCCTTCAGCCCAGGGACGCCTGCCTTGCAAGGGGAGAGGGCAGCCAGAAGACCCTCTCTGGGTCAAATTTCTTCCAGGATCCAGCTGCCTCCCAAATTTTAGGAGAGCAGGGAAGGCTCTTCTGATGATCATTTGGATTTTGAATTCTATGTGGACTTTTATGTTCATCCTGTTTTAATTCTGCTCGCTTTGATTGATTGAAAATTGCTTTAATATGGGTTTAGACATGATTTTATAGTATTATTATTGCATATTGCCTTCTGTAGAGTTCCTTGCAACCCCCCTCCCACTTGAGCAGGAGGGCCCGGAGAAGGAGCAAAGGGGTCTCTGTCAAGGAGGAACCAAATTCCTTCAAGCCCTAAGAGCCTCAATCAAGCGAGGAGAAGGCAGTCTTCAGAGCAGCCATATCATCCTGAGGGGAGCTGGCTGCAATCAGGACCCACCCACCCCCCCCCGCCCCCCCCCCCCCCCCCCCCCCCCCCCCGGCCTTGCCCTCCTTACTCCAAAGGGCAGTCAGACACACCTGGGTGAAGAAGGGGTGGCCAAGCACTTCTTCCAGGCTGGGGCGGCCGGATGGGTCAGGAGCCAGCAGCCTCCCAATCAGGCTGCAGGCGGCTGGGGAGAGGTGGCCAGGAAGCGGGTAGCACCCCTCTTGGATTCTCTGGAACAGCTCCTGCTTGTGTGTGATCTCGAAGGGGGGGAAGCCAGCAAGGGCGGTGTACCTGGGGAGGAAAAGGCCAGGCAAATGTGCCCTGACCCACCCACCCACCCACCCTGTCAGCAGAACCCGACCACTGCCCAGCCTCCCCCCAGAGCGAAAGGAACCCCTCCTTTGCTGTGGGAATCACTTACATGATGCAGCCCAGGGCCCAAATGTCTGACTTGAAGGAGTGCCCCTTCTTAGCTATGACTTCGGGGGCCAGGTAATTGGGGGTCCCACAGACTACCCTGTAGAGAAGAAAGTTGAATTCGGAAATGCACATGTAGCTACTGGCAGGTTCCCTATGACAGAACCCATTAAGCACGTGGGGGTATTGATATGCAGGGTCTGCACAGCAGGTGGGGCTTGCCTATTCTGGCATGTAGGAACCTCCCTGCCCTCCAAGGCTCCCGACTGGCAGAGCTGCTCAGTGGCTTCCCAGGCAGCCATCAGATCTGGCAGATGAACCTCCCCCCTCAGGTCCTGCCCCCGCCCCTCCCCTCCCCTGCAATCAACACTTACCCTCTCCTCCAGTACGCCCGCTCCTCACGCGTTGCCAGGCCCAGGTCGCCAATCTTTACCTGCATGCGCTTGGTGATGAACACATTGCCTAGAAAGGGAGCGTATGGGGCACGGACGGTCTGAGGGCCAGGTCCTGACGGTGCCCAGAAAGATTGTCCTGCTTCCCTAGAGCTTCCCAAGCCCCCAGCAACCCTGGGGGGGGCTCCCAGAGCCCTCATCCACAAGGGTGGAGCTCCTGAAAAGGGTCCTCCCCCCTGTGAAGGCACTCATCTCCTTGTGGCCTGATCTTCATGCCCCCCCCCAGGAGGAGGGGCCTGGGCAGGGTGGCCCCTCCAGCCTCTTGCGCTGGCACTCAGGAAAGCAAACTGTCCACCAGGTTCAAGCCAGCTTGGAGGAATCATCCAGGTTCTTAGTCTGTTTTCTTTTTATTCTATTTGCTATGTCCTTGACTGGATTTTCCCCCTCCACTTTTTTATGGTTTTGGTTGTTGTCTGAGCTTCTGGATGGGATATAGATAAAGAAACGTTGACCACAAGCTGCATCCGATGGCGATTTCCCAGGAAGAGGACTCCTGGAGCCCAGGGCAGATTGGGGGCCACTGCCCAGCACTGGGGCTCCTCTTGACCCCCCCCCAAGTCTTTGCCACCTACTCAGTTTGAGGTCACGGTGGATGATCCCTTGCTGGTGGAGGTACTGCAGGCCGCTTGTGATTTGCTTCAGGTAAAACCGCACCTCTGGCTCCGTCAGCGTCCTCCGGATCTTCAGAATGTGGGCCAGGGACTAGAAGGAAGAGAGGGGCTGAGGAGGAGGGGGCTCACGCAAGGGGCAGGCGGGTCTCCCCATAGAAAGGACAGCGTTCTATCAAGATATGAAGCAGATCGTAAACAATATGGCTTTAACTTGGGGAAATCAGAACTGGATGAAATATTGACAGGAACAGATGAGAAAATGATTAAGAAACTATATAATTATTTATTGCGGATCAGACTAGAAGATGAAGAAGTAAAAGAAACAATGATAGCATGGGCAAAGAATTTTGGATACACCATAGAATTGGAGAAATGGCAACAACTTTGGGAAAGAAACTATAAATTAACAATGGCAATAGCTTATAAAGAAAATTTGTATAAGATATTTTATAGATGGCATATGCCACCAGAAAGATTAGCTAAGATGTTTAAAGATAAATCAGCTAAGTGTTGGAAATGTCACCAGTTACCGGGATCATACTATCATATGTGGTGATTGTGTAAAGAAGCAAAACATTATTGGGTGAAAATACAAACATGGTTAGAGGGAATGTTGCAGCAACATATAGAATTAAAGCCAGAAATATTCTTACTAGGAATTTTACCAGAGAATTACAGTAAAGAAGATACGTATTTGATTATTCATATAATAACAGCGGTTAGAATTGTATTTGCACAAAATTGGAAAGCAGATAGAATCCCGTTGGAAGGAGAAATTATAAAGAAAATTTTAGAATGTGGAGAAATGAATAGATTAACATTGAGACATTCAAGACATGGGGAAAATTTTATGATTGGTTAGAAAGGAAATATGAATAAGGGTACAGAGATAAAACAGAGAACAGATGGGAGAAAACAATAAAAAAAAATAGATACCCAGATAATGCCAAGTAAAAGGAGAAAGGGGGGGAGGGGTAAAAGGGAAAAAAGTGAGATATTATAAAAATGTACACAAATGATGAAATAAAAATAAATATTAATTGAATAAGAAATTGAAATGAAATAAACATAATTAGAAAATTGGGGCTGCTCGAATACCACTTTAGATTGAACTGAAAAGGGAAACAACAGGAGAGAGGGGAAGGAGTAGAGAGAGAGGAAAGGAGAAGAGAGGAGAGGAGAAAGGGAAAAGGAGAGGAAGAAAAGGGAGGGGAAAGAGGAGTAGAAGAGAAGGTTGGAAGGGGGAAGAAGAGAGGAGTGGGGGAAGGGAAGGGGAAGTAGGAAAGAGAAGGAGAGGAAGAAAAAAGAAAATGGGAGGAGAAAGAGGAAGGAAGAGAAGGGGAAGAGAAGAAAGGTTGTAGTAAAGGTAAATGGTAAAAGAGCAGCCCCAAAAAAGTAAAAAAAAAAAAAAAGAAAGTTAAAAGATAAGATGAATGAAAAATGATGGATAAATGACTGTACATGTAAATTTGCTTATGAGAAATAAAAATAAAAAACTTTTTTGAAAAAGAAAAAAGAGCGTTCTATGCCTTGGGCAACCCCATGCTATTAAAGCTTCTGACCACTTCAAGGTTCCTTAGCCAGTGGTGGCCGTTTCCCTGACCTCAGGCCATGTTCTGCTTTCAAGCTCCTTCTTTCTCATCCTGACCTCTCGGGCTTCTTGTGAGGGTATAAAACAGTGCAAGCAAACCCTGTAGAAGCTGCCCAGGTTGGCAGCCTGATCCTCACTCTGGGAGCTTCTGTTTAGCTTCCCCATTAAATATTCCCATGGGCAAGGGGGAAAAAAGGGCCACTTCCCTAACCTTCCTACTGCAGTATTCCAGCACCAGGTAAATGTTCTCCTGGTCAGCGAAATGTCGGTGGAACCCCACAACGTTCCTGTGGTGAAGCTGGCTGTGCAGCTCGATCTCTCGTTGAACCTGCAAAGAGTTAAGCCAAGTCACAAGCCTAAGACGTTTCAAAGACACACTTGTGCACGTGCGAGAGCAGAAGTGCTAGAATCAGCTGAAACTCAGCACACCTGGGAAGGAGACTCAAGAAGACATCCAAGGTCGGTACCCAAAGTGAGAAAGAAAGAGCTACGCAGCCACGGGAAGCCACCAAGCCCAGATCCTTCCTCTCAACTCAGCAGACAGCTTCCCCCCACTCATCCACCCTCCTAAAAGGAAGCTGTCTCTGTGTGAGCCCTTCTCAGTGCCTACAGCACTTGGCTTGTCGGTGGGGGTCTGTGGGACCCTGCCCCGGCCCCATCCCTTCATCCCAAAGGCTTGCCCAGCGGGGAAAGCATTTGGGGCCGCCAGCCATTTCTGATTTACAACCCTTTCCAGAACTTTCATTGCCCATGGTCTTCAAGCAACAGTCAGTGGACAGAAGATCCCACCCGTGGAGTGTGAGCGGATGGGCTGGCAAAGACAGAAACGCTTTGGCAGAACTGAAGGAAGCTGAAGAGGGGAAGTTGTGTGGACAAGCCTTGCCTGCAGGAGATGGTCAGGTGGGTAGTTGTGCCTAAACTCTTCAGTTCCTGGCTGGGCACCCCAATTCGGCTTCCCCCACCTCCACCCCCATCCAGAGACAGCCCAGCCCAGGGAACTTGCAACCAGGGGAAGATTCATTCATTTATTTTATGAGATTTTCATGCCGCCCCGCTTCCCTATGTTGACTCCGATAAGGCAGGGTTGGCGCTCCCTTTGTGGGAGCTGATCTCCGGGGAGAGGAATCTGGCAGAAGACCACCAAGCCCCCTCACTCTAATCCATCTTACCTTTCCTCGGTTCCCCAGCCTTGCGACTCGCTGTTGAGAGAACACTTTCACGGCATAGATTCTGTTGGTGGACGTGTCGGTAAATGTGTAGCATTGTCCAAATGCTCCCTGGGAGCGGGGAGGCAGAGAAGGGGGCTTGTCAGCCAGAAGCAGCCTCTGGTCCCTCCTTCCTAGAGCACTTGGGTTGTTCTGGGTCTGAAGATAAGACCTTTGCTTAACCCCCCCCCCCATACACACAAATCCCCAACTCTGATCCCATCCCAGGGCTGAAACTGTCAGTTTTGACCGCCCTCTCCAACCCTTGGGAAAGCGAGAAAGCAATGGCCATTGATGGGCCAGTTGCACTCAGAGCCAGCTCCACCCGAAGGATGGCAGCCTTTCTGCCATTAGGGAAGCCCGGGAGAAGACGGGCACGCTTTGAAGGCGGGAGTCGCCTTACCGCCCGTCCAGGATTTCAGTCTTCCGGCTCTGCAGAAAGCAGCCGATATTTGGGCAGGTTTTTAGGGGGAAAAGACGCTCTTTGAAAGCAGGCTGCGGGAAGCGAACAAGCCCCGCCGCCCGCCGGCTGCAGCGGCGATAGCAAGCAGGACTTGGCGCTCCGGGCTCCCGGGGCGCGCAGGCAAGGCGGGCCGAGCGGCTCCCCGCCTGTGACCTTGGCTCGCTCGTCGCTTCGGGACTTGAAAGAGGAGACCGCAGCTGCCCCTTCCCCGCCGCCGTGGCTGGGCGAAACGTCGATAGGACCCGGAACGCTTCACGGTGTCCGCTCAGGGCAGCTTGCCCAGTCTCCGGCGCGGCCCTCGGAAGATCTACAGCCGCCCGGCGCCCCGCGCAGCCTCCAGGGCGAGGGCGGCTTACCTGTCCCAAAAGCTGTCCCCGCTTGTAAAGCGTCCCGGTGCCGGGATCCTCCACGAAGTATTTCAAGGTGTCCCCCTCGGCTCTCCTCCGGGCGGCGGCAGTCAGACCCATCCCGGTCTCGGCCCCGCAGCCTCCTGCCCGCCTCCCCCTCCCCCTCCCGCTGCTCCCCGAGCGTCTGGCCAGCCCGGAGCACGTGCCAGAGCTCTTATATACTGGGGTTGGGGGAGGCAGGGCAGAAGGGAGGCGCCTCTGCCGCCCAGGCCGCTTGCCAGCTGGAAAGACCCGCCCCACGAATCTGGGGGTCCCCGGGGTAGGGAGCGGCCCCCGGTCTCCTGTTCCCTTTCTGACTCCGACGTCCGTCCTGGCGACCCAAGAAGCCGCCTCCCTTGCTCAGCCGAGGCTTGCAAGGGGGCGGCCGAGTCCCAATCAAAAGCTACTCTTGGCGGAGTCGGAGGGCTCCAGCTCGAGCTCCGGCGCGCTGGCCTCTTCTTGACTCAGACCCTGGCTCTTTGGGGGAGGGGCAGCGGCCCACCACGACCCTGGACCGTCCCAGGGCAGAGAACTGCCTTCGCGCCCGGTTTCTGGCCAAGCAGGGTTTAGGCGGATCGGCTGCCCTGACAAGACCGGCAGTGCTGCTGGATAGCGGAGCGCCGCCCAACACAAACGAGCGCAACGAATAACAGGTGGAAGAGACCTGGGAGGCCTTGTAGTCCTGCCCAAGGCGACTCTTACCATTCCGGACATGGTTGCCCAGTCTCTTCTTAAAAACCTCCAGTGATGGAGCACCTACAACTTTTGGAGACAAGCCTTTCCACCGATATTGTCAGGAAACTTCTTAGTTTTAGGTTGCTTCCCTCCTTGAGTTTCTGTTTCCTCGTCCTGCCCTTCAGGTGCTTTGGAGAATAGGTTGACCCCCTCGGACATTAGAAGTCGGCTATCATGTCCTCAATACTCCTTTCTCTTCCTTAGACCAGACAGTTTCTGCGATTGGTTTAGGCTCGTCCCCTAATCCTGTTGCTTTCTCTGCGCTCCTCAGCCTTGAACTTTGAGGCGACCAGGAACTGCTCTGGAGCCGTTTCCGCAGGACCACTGCAGAGTAGATGCAACCAGCCCCCGAGTTTAAATCCCCCCAGGGAGGACTGAGGAAAGGGCAGCTGCAGACTTGACCTGCCCAGAGATGCCATCCACTTGAGGCGATTTTCTGCTGGGTCTCCACAGCTGCCACCTTTGGCTGCCCAGAGGGTGGGGGGCCGCCGTGGGCACTTCCTCCTAGCATGTGCATGGTGCGTCTGAATGTGCACGCACCCAACCTTTGAGCTTTTCTTCTTGGCTTTGGGTAGAGGAGTAAAAGGCAAATCTCCCTGCCCAAAGGCTTGAAAACAGCGCAGGAGAAATGCTTAAAGATTCCTCTCACCCCCTCCCAGCTCAGAGGAACCCCACCCCCAGCATCCCTCTGGCCCAGAACCAATTGGGGGTGGGGAGAGCTTCCAGCATCCTGTGGAGCTATAGACACTCTGAACTGCTGTTCACAATTTGCTGCAAGAGTCCAGATAAAAATGCAAAACATTTATTAAGTGTTGTACAAAAAGTTTCATCCAAAAAATGTATTATAAATTGCTGAAAAAGACAGACACTGAGCATGCATATCCATAAGAACACAAAAACCACGAGGTCTGTTTCCCCCTGAAGACATGATGCACTGGCCAACGTCAAGTACCCCACCACCACCGTGAGCGGATCCTTTCAGCTGTTCCCATTTTGGGAAACAAAACTCCCCAGTAAACAAAAAACACACCGCTACAAAAATAGACTTCTAATAAGGAAATGGATTTTGTAATCACAAGGCCTTTCAGAAAGCATATTGCTTGCAAAATGTAGTGTGATCCTGCCAGGCTGGCTGAGCACTCCCAGCACTCCTCCATGCACGGAAGGTGCCCCCCCCCACCCCCGGGGTGTGTTGTGTTCAGGACAGTGGAGAGAAGGGAAAAGGCTAGAGAGGAGCTAGCCTCAGCTCCAGTTCATGGGGTCCAAGCTGGCCAGCTGATTTGTTGAGGAAAGCTGGGGCTGTCAAGGATGAAACTGAACAGGTCCAAAGAGCCCCTCCCAATATCCAGTGTATTTCAAAGGGGTGTTAAGATTTGTCAATAACTATGTGTAAACATGGGCTTAAAATAAATTTTAAAAGTCACATTTTGTATAAAGTATAAAGCAAGGAGTATTTCTAGAGTAAACCAACCAAACCACGTCAAAACCAAATGCTGGTCAGGTGCTAAATGGATCTCCCAGCTAACCCTGGTTGCCTCCCCCCCCAGCACTTCCAGGGAACAGCGCAAAAAACCCAGAGAAAGATGAAGGCAGTCCAAATATCCCCCCCCCAAAGAATCTGTACCTCAATGTGTCTCCACTATTAGCAACCACAAACTGTGGGGAAGGTGTGTGTGTGTGTGTGTGTGCACATGTGGGTAAAGAAAGGCAGGCAGGCAGGTCTACGGGAGGGTGCCCTTGAAACTGTCCCCCTCTGCCTCCACTTCCTGCCCCGAGGACAGGTCAATGGGTGACCTCCAGCTCAGCCTCTCCATGTTGGAGTCCGTTAAGGGGAAGGCCAGCCCCAAGGAAGGGTCCAGGCAGGGGAAGGGTGTGTGTGTGTGTGTTGCAGCTGATGCGCTGGGAGGCAGAGGGTCCACAGTCAAGGCACCAGAGGATGGACTCGGACAGACCCCCTCCTCCCAATCCTGAATCACGCAGGAAGCATGGCTGTGGTCCATCCTGCCTCCCTCCTGCAAACTGAGCTGCAGGATTGTGTGGGTGTGGGTGTGGGAGAGGAATAGACAAGAATTTATGCAATCTTATCCCACATCAAGACCCCTTTTCCGAGCTGTAACACTAGCAGCTCTACAGAAAGTGGCTAGGAGCTTCTACATCTAAAACACTTTTACATTAGTTCACACAGATTAACACATTATGTAGTATTTAAAAATCTCTGTAATGTTTGCTGCTTAAACATTATCTCTGTTTTGTCCTAGTCACAATCCTGCTACAAGCTAAGCACCATCTCAGACATCCTATTTTTTCCTTTGTTAAATATTCTCTTTGATATTGCATCTTACTCCTGCCAAAAATGTCCTCACACTGGAGCTAAAGCCACAGAAAAGTCACTCTGGTCAGACGTCCCTTTGTGCTCTATGAATTTGGGGGTCTTCCCAGTTTTGGAGACTCTCAAGGCCCTTCTGAGTTCTTTTCGATTTCAGAGCAAGTGAGAGCCTCAACGGGATCTCATCAGGAAGTCCTCAGGACAGAGTGGCCAAAGTGACAGTCCAGCCCTTCGATGTGGCCATCTAAGGTGATGGACTAGCAAGCAACCCTTGGGAATGTAGCTCACCGAAATTCAAGGCTTAATTTTCATTAAAATTTTGTCATTTTTTTTTTAAAATGAAGAACCAAGGCAGTGTGTTTCAAGGCTAGTGTTCAAAGAGGAAGATCAGCGCCAAACACAAATGTAATTTTTGGACCATGAGAGCTGACTAAAATTGGGATGTGTTCACCCCGAGGGCCAGGAATCCCAGCTGAAACGGCCTCTGGCAACTCAAAACCACTTTATAATCCAACCCCCCTCATACAAAAAGTTGGCCAGATCGGATTTCAATGGTATTTCTATGATCTGTCAGCAAATAACTGGTTCTGTAAGGGTTCTTTTCTTCACAACACCTAAGAAAAATCAGGCCAAGTTCCAGAGGGTGCTGCCCTCAGCTCTTGGCAGAGGCCAGCATTTTTTATGCCGGATCCCCTCTGGATTCAACCTTATCATCAGGCCAGGCTTGTCCCATCTCCAACCAGTCCTTTACTGCCCATCCCTGAAGGGGACGGGGTGGGGTGGGGTATCACCCGCTCACCTGTGTCCCATCCTCCTGCCATGGCTCCCGAGCGCTGGCCCATCCGGTCACAAGAAAGATTCTCAACAGGTCAGAAGCTGGTCAGAGATACTCAGGCGGAGGCCATGCAAGTGCCCCACCCCACCCACCCAGGCCACTGAGACTGGCCGGGCCCCCGGGTTGTCCCAGAGCTGCCATGTCCCCTTCTGTGCTGTTTGAACTGAGGCAAAAGGCTCTGGACGCAGGAAGCCGAGAGTTTGGAATCACTTTCTTCTTCCAAGGTGGAATCCAGCCCCCCCCCCCCCCCCCCCCCCGTTCCACCCCCTCTCCCCCCCCGCCCCTCCCCCCCGCCGCCGCCCTCCCCCGCCCCCCCCCCCCCCCCCCCCCCCAATCTTCTGCTCGGGGCTAAAAAACAGCCACACAAGAGGCAACCTGGGCAGACCCACTTTCTGCTTTTTAAAACTCAGTTCCGCTCAAAGTAAAAATAAGCCATAGAAGACTTAGAAAAATAGTTTCCCAGAAATGCAGGTGAAAGAAAAAAAGGGGGGAAGGGGGGGGGGAGACAAAGGGTTCCTTCCTTTCACATGAGGGCGCATCCTCTGGAAGTGGTCCTGGGGTCCCCCTAGGAGAAGAGGAAAGGCAGCCTGAAGAGGGAGGTCCCCCAAAATCCCTCCGCCCTGCTCTGGCTCCTGCACCACCACCACCACCATGCACAGGGGGCTATGTGTGGTTCTGAGGGTCTCTTGCCAAAGGCCTCCTGGGGTCCCCCTGGTGAGGGCAGTCCCACTACGTACCAGAAGGGGAGCCACCTCTCTGCGGGCACCTTCTGCCCAGGAGTGGCTCTGCCTCGCCCTTCTTGCTGCCCCACAGGCGAGCTGTTCCCCTCAGTTGAGCCGCTTTCAGAGGCTACCTGCTGGTGGAAGAGATCTTCCTCCCCAAACTCAGCCTCCTCCTCCTCCTCTTCCTCCTCCCCGTTCTCCTGCAGCCCGGTCGTCAGCTGGGTCAGACTCCGCACAGCCACTTCCTAGCAGGGAGAGGAAGAAGGGCGCCATCCAAAGGAGAAGCCTCAGGAGGGGGATACTTAAGACCAGGGATGTAATACAAGCAGGGTAACACCCCCCCCCCCAATTCACCCACCAGGGTTTGGGGATGCCGAGCAAGAAGCGACCACCACCTCAAGCCCCCTCCCCTGAGCAGGGCAGTTTCTGTGGAGCACCTGAGGCGGAAGGCTGGAGTCCAACCTGGGCTCAATGCAGGGTGTGAATTAACCCCTCCCAGCCCCCCCCCTTCTCCCAGGTGGGTGGGTAGCATCAGTGGAAAGACAGCTTCCCACAACCCAAAATCTCCACTTCTGGATAACCCGACATGGCTGGACACAATGG